CGATACTGTTAATACATTCAATAAAGTTGGAGCATTTGTTTTCGTCATTAAGTTTTAGACTATTTAATCGAAGAACTTAAGAAAGTAACCTGAGAAATGGTACCGGCGAGGTCGTATACTGGCATATCGTCGTAGAGGTGATATATGAAAATGGGTATGTACTGTATTGCATAACTGAGACATGCACCGTAGTAGTTATAGAACTTTTGCCAAACTAAAAAATGTGTCTTCATGAGGAGATTGACTGCAGTTTATACTTTGCATCAAAATATTCTGTTCTTGAATTTCAAGCTGAACTCGCAATAAAAAGTTAGGAGTATATGATGAAAGCAGTGCTAGGACCCTTGATCACTTGTGTTTTATGAACACCGGATGTCTGATCACGAACATTTGTTTGCAGAGTGAGTCAGATCCGGGCAAGCTCAGTTTCAATCTCAGCAGTAGCATTAGATTTGGCTTTCAAGCTTAGCCTGTCGATCGACTGAATGATCGAATATTCGGTGATCAAAAGAAGTGTGGCGGCTAAAACGCATTATTAATAGGTAATCACGATCATAGTCATTCTTACACATATTCGGAAGTTTCCAGCAAATGTACCAAAATTGTCGCCACCAAAGAATATTGAACAACCGATCGGATTCAAATCGTTCGAAACTTTCCGCCTTATAAAGTGCTGACGATTCGGCGTTATTACGTAACGTCACATGTTTGTACCTGAAACTGCTTACTTTTCAAACAACCGCAAACTGTTGTGGATGTAATATCACAACTAATTTAAGAACCAACCTAAAGTCACCTTCAGCTTTCTCTACTCGACCATTCCATCGGACCATCGGCGAAATGAGTATCTTATTGACGATTGTACCGAGCACAAAATATGCGTATATTATTCCAACACCCATACCTCCAGCACTGAATTCATTCATTCACAATCAAATTTTCACGTTTCATCTGTTCACTTAGTAAGTTTGATTTAGAACGAGAACGGTGACGCAATGAAGGCAGCAAGCATATTTCTGAGAGTATCGCTTGCATAAATAACGGATAATGTCGAAATGGTAGTTACTAAAGAAGTGAAATGAGGTTTCATAAGGAAAATTCTAAAATATTGCTCACGTTTGAGCTGTCTTATAAGTATACCATGCAACAATAAAAGGACCAATGAGGATATTTGGTAGGACGTTGCACGCCAGCTGGTTACACATTCTTTCGACATCTTGTGTTAATCGTTGGTCACTGAAAATCTCATTACATCCATCAT